GTAAGTTTAATAAACTTTTTAATATAATATTTACAAGTAAAATTATCAATTTAGTTGAGTATAGAGATATGGTTGGTTTTGCAGTTATAATAAAAAGCATACATTTTAAATAAACAGCTTGCTGTTTATAATATTAATTGTTTTTGTTTATATATTATTGCATTTTCAATTATTATTGCTATTATTTTAATTATTGCTGTTATTTATGATATTGTTGTTTTTGTTGTTATTCTTACTATAATAATAGTTATTATTGTTATTATTGCTAGTATTGCTATTACTATTATTATTACTATTATTATTAATAATATTATTATTATAATTACTATTATTAATCCAGCACCTGAAAGTTATGTTTACTAGTGTAAATAGAATGTTTTTAGATGAATTGTAATTGTTTTGTCTTGGTTATGGTTTTAAAGTTTATAATGAATAGGAATTATATAGAAAAGTAAATACTAAATAACAGTGTAAGTAAGTTAAGATGTTTTCTTATGTAAATAACCAGCTATAAACTAATTGAAAAATTTACAAGCCTAATGTATGTAATTTAAATACAAAATTATCAAATCTATTGTGATAAATGTTAATCTATATTTCAACTGTGTTATAACTAAAAATTTAGTGCCTTTATAATAGTATGGAACAATCGTATTGAAAATAAGTCAAATTGATTTTATGCACCTAATCTACCAATAAAATCTCAAATAAAGAAGTTGTAAAGGCAAAGTATTCCAATTTACTTGTTATATGTATTAAATCTTTAAGTCCTGCCATTACTCTTGTAAATTTCATCCATCTAAAAAATTGTATTTAGAAGTTTCTGATTCACATATTATTTTATGTTACATGTAACTGATATAGGCAACCTAAGCAAATATTTTAAGCCAATTGTAGACCCCATGGGTAAAACCACAGGTGTTTGTTTCTAATTTTAAGGAAAATAAAATTTTGTGTTTAGGAACAACAGATATCATATATTTATAATGTATTTGTTTAAAAGTATCTTTTAATGACATTTTAGTCTGAATATATAAATGCAGTCTTTCTGCTAAATACAAATGATATTTATTCACAATAACTATTTTAATATTTGTTTAAAAATAATATTTTAAGTCACTGGTTTTGAAAATCTGTGATTTTTCCACTGTAAATTCTTCTCCTCAAACTACTTTAACTTGAACCTTTTAGGTCACTTACTTTGTTAAAAGTAGATGATAATTATAATATACAACGACAACTTATTAAGATGTGTGCAAGGAGATGTCAAAGTCTACCCCTCGCCCTTTCTTACAAAAAAAAAACAAACTCAAATCAAACAACTCAAAAACACATTTTTTTTAATTTTATAAAAATTACCCTTTTAACTTTATCTCTTCTGTACCTCATCTATATACCAAATTGTTTGTATAAACCAGAAAATTACCATCTTGTTATTACTAGATTTTTGATATTTCTTTGAAAATAGAAATAGTATTTATTTTTATTAACAAAGAATTAATAAAAATATATGCTTTTTTTTATTTTTAAAGAAATATCAAGTACATTTTTCAGTAATATGTAATACCAATTTTTTGCTTTATTGTTCACTCTGAGTCTGAGGTTTGCTCTGGTTAAGATTCCTGTACAAGTAAGTTATCAACTGGCAACTGATCAAAGAATGGCTTATTTTATTCACTTACAAATATTTAGCTTCAATAAGTATTTGAACTTTTCACAAGAAAGTCTTAACATGGCTATGCATGATTGTTTTGGGTTATCAGGCACTTTAATCTTTGATCAAGACCTGAATATGACACTCATAAAACTAAATCTAGTTTACCTTGTACAGGAATAAGTTATTATTACCCTTTGATATTTCAATTTCTCTAAGTGAACATATCGTAAATGGACAAGCAACTGAGAAATTTGGCTTTAAAAGTTCTGTAACTTTCAGATATTTTTCTTGTTACATATTTACAGGCTTGGAAAGAAATGGTGTGTGATTGCTTATCATACACCACTTATAATTTTTTTTCTTCAAAATTTAACCATGACTGTTTTAATGTTTTAACAATTTGAAAAAAATTGCTGTTATGAATAATTTTTAATTGTTGATCTTATCTAAAGGTTTTATTTTATGCAAGGTTTAAATAAAATAAAAATTAATTAATTATAATTAATTAATTATGATAATTATTTAATTTTTTTTTTGTAAATTAACAAAAAATGTTATATATAATTTTTTTTATGTTGGCATCTATTTTTAATGATTAATTTAGATGTTTGAAACTATTTTTTAATGTCTTTCTGAAAACCTCTTTTTTGAAAAAGTTCAAAACTTTAGGAATATTTTATTTTTCAGTGCATTTCTAAAATGTTTTAGTCATCAAACATCTAAACAGTCATGGACAAGTTGTCTAAAAAAATCATTAGCGTGGTAAGCAATATTGTTCGATTGCACACCATTCCTGTCCAAGCCTGATTTATAATGTTGGATGGCTCTGGTTTTTTTTGAGTGTTGTTAAAAACACACTTTCAATCTTCTAGAGTTTCTGCTAAAAACTTTTGACTCACAATCATCACAGTCATATTCCATATAGTCATGTCACAGTCATATTCCATATAGAAATAACCTCAAATCAGAAATAAAACAGTTATGTTGTCAAATCTTTCTGTTTTAACTGAGATAATACAAAAAATGAAAAACTGCTCATTTTTTTTTTATTTTGTATTGCATACCAGCATACGAATCACAAAATAATTTGATATGCTTTGTATATTGATAATTAATAAAATCTCTAAGCATAGATTATACATCATCAGACTCTTTGTTGCCTATGGTTTTATCATAGCAATAAAAGTAAACATTTTGAGTAAAAAGTATGTAAATATTGAAAGAGTAAAACAACAGTTGTCTGGATATATATATATATATATATATATATATATATATATATATATATATATATATATATATATATATATATATATATACAAATAGTATTGCGTACTAAGGTAAGCAATCTGATGTCATACTAAAATAGCCTGCTGCTGGGGGCTTTAGTACATACATCAACTGACAAATAGCCTGACTCGCAGTGGAGTGCTGCTACATTGACTGAGGGTTTGGGATGGGGCAGTAATCGTTTCATTCATTATTCTTCGTTTTTTTTCTTCTTTTTCTAAAAAAGCTGTATGGGTTAAGGTAAGCAAAAAAAGTGAGAAAATGCTTATAAAAACACGCTTTAGTAAGTGTATATATATATATATATATATATATATATATATATATATATATATATATATATATATATATATATATATATATATATATATATATATATATAGAATTTATTATATAAATAGATTGACTAAGTAGATAAGAAGAAGATGCTAGAAGTAATAAAACCCAGTTAAAACCGGTGCTGTGGCAATTACTTTTAGATATCACTTAGTTTGTGTTCACCTTTAGTTTTATCATAAGATAATGATTTGTTTGAAAATAGTGTCTTGTTGTAAAAGGCATTTCTTTGTTTACATGAATTTTGAAAAACAATTTTTTTTAAAATTATCTGCTGCCACCCCCTAAATGTATTCTATGTAATAAATTAACACTAAATTAAAAAAATTTTAGAATAAAAAAGCATTTTAGGGGTTGCTAAAGACCCTTAAAATTAAAAAAGCCCCATCCAGCGGATCCCTAATATTTTGAAAAAAGTTTTTTAAAAGTATATGTTGGGTCTCAAAAGAAGTGAAATTTTATAAAAATTTTAAAAATAATAATCATTTTATATAAAGATTTTTTGTTTAAATTTTATGGCCAAAAAACTATCATTTTTTAACAAAAAAAAAAAAGTACATATTTTCAATGTTTTTTTTTAAATAAACTTTTTTAATTTGTGTTTTCATAAATTGTTTTTTTAATTTGTAATTTTTTGAAATTTATATATATATATATATATATTTTTTTTTTTATTCATATATTTGCCGTACATATAACATTTACAAGTTTCGTAAATTAATATTTACAAGTCTCGTGAGTCAAAATATATATAGTGAAATTTATAATTAAATAGTACAGGCCGGACTTCAAGAAGATCGTAATGATCTTATCACGAAGCCCTTACAATGTGTTTGATATATTATTATGATTATGTTAAATATAATTATATATTAAATACATATATATATTAAATACAACTATGTTTATATATTCTTTAAATTTAGCTCATAATAAAAAATAAACTCAAAATAAGCTCAGTATAAAATATTAGACATAACTAGCAGCATAATAACTAAACTTGATAAGAAAAAATCAAGTGTTTTTTTTGTGTGTAATAAACACATTTTGATATATTGTTTGAGAAATTTGAGAAAAAAAAAAAAGATTCATTTAGATAATACACATAAATGAGTCAGTTCACTTTGTAGTTGATATATATGTATTTTAATTTATAGTCTTAAAAGAATTCTGAGTATCTGTTTAGATTCAGTATCAGATTTTTTAACTTTTTTTTCAAGAAATTTTGATTGCAAATTGAATCTAGATTACAGATTGATTTATTTTTAGTTACTAGTTTGTTGTATAAATAAGGACCCCGATATGAAATTGAGAACTGGGAAAGTTTTGTTTTTTTGAAAGGTGTAATAAAGTTTCCTTTTTCTCTTGTGTTATATTTATTAACGTTATTTATAAAAAAGTTATTTAAAAAATGGTTTGGTACTTGACCTAATTTAAATTTTAGCATAAACAATATATTTTGGTAAATATTAATTTGATAAATATTAAGCACATTCATTTCTTTAAATAAGGGTTCAGTGTGTGTAAATTTGTCTTTATGGTAGATAAGTCTAACAGCATGTTTCTGACGTCGATATAAAGTTTTCAATTTGGTTATATGCGTACTCGCCCAAGCTATATTCGCATATATGAGGTAGCTGTGTATAAAAGAGAAATATATAAGTTTTAAATTACTTTGCGACAGCATAGGTTTTGCTTTATAAAGTAGACCTATGTT